CCCATTGGTTATCTACTTGTACATGTATCATCTCATGTCCAATGCCTGCTTTTGGAATAATTGGTTAATATTGGCTCCAATTTTATTTCTCTTTGCAGGCGGTTGGGATCAGTGCACTTGTTGCAATTTACTTTATAGTCCGCTGGGTGAAAACAAGAGGCAGAAGAAAAGCAAAGAAGTAAGCCAGAACAATTTATTTTGTCCACATCAGTATGGTGGATCAGTGGTTGAATTTGGTCATATAGGGTAGTTCTTGATAATCTGCAGTGAAATGTTTGGATTCCCTAGTAAAGTCTTTTCAAGTAGTTCTTGGGACCCATTAAAACTGAAGTCCAAGATGTTATGAACCTAGGATTTACCAGGATGGTATGTTCGAGCGAAGCCCAGTGGCTCATTTGTTGCTGTATGTAGTAGGGATCACAAAGTTGTAATAGGTTTGGAGGGTGGTCATGCAGCTATCTTGTGCTGTGTTGCTAAGGCACTGCACACTCTCATAGTACCCATGGTAATAAGTGACCTTGTGATTAGACAGGAAGAACAATGTTGCAAAAATACTTGGAATGATCTGTAATGGTCTACACTTAGTTACCACCTCATACTAGGGTGAACAATGCTGTTTTGTGGGAAAGTAACCTCGTGTCGCTGTTCTGATGATCAAAACGTTGTTCTCTCACAGAGTGGTTCTTAACATTCAACAGTCCTTCCCGAATTTGTACTTATTGGCAATAGATTTAAGCAAAAGAGCACTTTTTCCGTGTTTACAATGTACATGGCCTCATCTAAACACAAAGGAGTTTGGAGAATTCAAAAGTTATGCAAACACGAGACGTAGTCAAGGGTTTGCATAACCTTCGAGAATTTTCCCATTCCCCCGACTACTCTCATCTCATCTAAACACACCTATCAACCACTGAGAGTGCATGTAGTAGCTCAGTTGTCTTCCAGACTTAATGTAATGTAGTATTCTATTCACCATCGTGATGTTTCCTAAGACCAGCCGCACTGTACAATTTTGATTACATAGCACTTTTTTTTTCTTTTTTCTTTTTTGCCCAGGTATGGTGTTATCCATGGGACAGGAGAGATGGAGCCATTAGAGAAGCACATTGATGAAGATGAAGAAGACATCGCACTCTTTGATGTGAAAGATTCGAAACGACCAAAATGAAGTGCAGTCAAGATAATGCTACAGCTTAATAGAAATAAGATCGTCTAACAGAACCGATAGATTATTTGGAAATAGATAACTAAACCCACATTTTCAAAGGTTAATTACGGTATCAATTGTTTAAGTTGTTTTTGACCTCAAGGTATTACTTATATAAATGCATTGCATTTGAGTTTTGTTTTGTGTCAGTATCAAGCTTGACTTTAAATCAGCTGCCAGGAACATATAGTTGATCGATATGAATAGCAATCTTTGAACAACCAGCCCAGATATGTGCCCTGTTTATATGCATGTACCTCAATGCTAGTACAGTGTTACGCAATCTTTAGCTCTGTATTTTGTAAATGTAGAATTAAGAACTGAATTGTCTAGGGTTGCGGCAGTGTTCCCCTGCTTCACGCCAAACTACAAGATTTCAATCAGCTTGTGCATTCAGTTTGCAGCTGATAAAACATGGAGGCACAAATATGTGAATTTTGTAATTGGGTCACAACAATCAGCAAGTAGGAGATGTTGTCTTGTGGTGCACTTTTATGACGTACCACAACCCTCGTTGTACCCCTAAAAGGTACATCGAGCACCCCAGACTCTTTTATATGGGAA